CTGGGTCCAACACCTTCACCGCCACAGTGCCACCAGCCCTTCAAAATCTCAGCCTGAAACAATAGTAGTGGCTTATTTTAGCATCTAGTTTTCAGAATTTCTTTCTCCAACCTTTTGAGAGATCACACCACAGTGTAAAGCACTGGTGGAGACAGCTAAAACTAAGCTCATTTTAACACACATTTATTGTCTTGGCATGGAAGGTTAAGTACCATTAAGCCAGAACTCATCGTGATCTATTTTCAGAAGCTTAGAGAAGATTGTCCTTATTTTTCAAGACCTATATTTCTTGTTTAGGCAGAGAAAAGGCTCCAAAGAACCCAGATTCTACTTAGACCAGAGACGGCCAGGAAATGCAGGAGTGAGTTTCAGATTTTCAGGAGGCAGCAGCTCCAGAAATGCTCCAGCTCCTGAGAGCAATGCATAGTTTCCCATAAACTATTTGGTGCACCTTTGAGGACCGGAATGGAAGCAGCCATGTTTGGGTGCCCCACGGGGATGCTGACTCTCAGCTCCAGCGCTGGCCTGTGGGCCTGGACGGGAAGGAGCCCAGCCTCCGGCCACTGAGCAGTGGCATTGTTCATTCAGCAGACGCAGGTGTGGCTGAGCCTGCCAGGCCAAACATTTCAAAGAGCGCCAGTCAGTGGCTCTCTCAAGCCAGACCGAGATGTGGCCTCAGCTTCCTTCACAGCTTTCCAGGGTGTCATGTTCTGTGTACGTCTGGGGTTTCCTAAACCTCTTGACCCTCGTTGTACACACTGCCGCTGTTGAGTGGGGACTTTTCCATCCATTCTGAGCTGTTGGCTGCCCCAAATTGTGTTTGGCCCAGATGGAATTTTTGCAAGAATTATGAATGAGTTAATGTCTGCAAGGGGTGCTTTGAAGACACAGTGCGTGTTTTCAGCAGCAAACGGTTAGCTTTGCAAGAAAGAGACTTCTCTTCCAGTTTGGGTTGTATGTTAATCTAAGCTCTTTGACAGCTCATAATACTTAGCTGTACTTCAGGTTTATAAAGCACTTCTGCTTGATTTGGGCAAGCCTCACAACAGACCTGTTGGGTAGGTCAACCTTAGTATCCCCATGTTGCAGGTTTGGGCCTGAGGCTAAGAAAGGGGGAGAACCCACAGGAGACTTTCAAAACAGGGGCCTTCCCAGATTGCGTGTGGTTGACAAATCCCATTCCTTCCAGACAGCCTGTCCTTAAAGTGCTAACTTGAGAATGGGATACGGACTTCCTTGTTTGCTCAGTGGGATTTACTTGTAAGCAAACGCTATGAAATGGTGATGAATTGTGTAGCTCTTTATTTATTACATATGCTCTGACTCAAAGGAGTAACCTAGGTATTTCCAAACAATCGCTTTAAACAATAATCAACTAGCCAGTGCAATCCAAAGCATATCGACTGAGACGTAAGCTCTATCTGAGGCCAACAGAGAAAGAAAACCACGGTGGAAAACAGGGATGTCCACAAAGGGAGGGTCAAAAAAGTCAAGATGCGCTATGCTCTTGCACATATAAAAGAGGAGGGGCTTCAATTTCACAGTTGTGGCTGCCATCTTGATTATTTTGATCTGCCCTGGCCACCTCTGGCTACTGACCCAGGCAGAGGGAAAGCCATGAGTTAGGAGCACCAACCGAAACAGCACGGAGGAAGGGCCAAGCATTGGCTGGATCCTTCTGCTTCTTCCCCATCCTTGGCCTTTCGGTAGCAACTCACCTGGATGGATGGATGAATTTAGCACACCTATTGCCCTACGCCCTTAAAAAAAAAGCTATTCAAGAAATTGCCTAAATAAAAACACACTAGTTTTAAAAAAATAAGTTTAAGTCTGTTATTGCCTTGACCCTGAGGAGGCTTGATCACGTTGGGGCGTGTCTGTATGTGAGAAACTGAGCTGAAAGAACATGAGTGGGGCTTGGGGCCAGGGAGGCTGTAAGGATGGCTGCAAAGCCAGTTGTACAATGGAAGAGGGTAACTCACGCCTAAGCAGGGGCCAGAACACATCCCATCCCATGCAAATTTCCCCGAAATGTTCTATTCCTTGGGAGAAAAAAATCAAAAGCAAACCCACTGAGATTTTTAAACTGTTAGGGAAAAATGAAGGGCAAATCTCTACCTGGCATCACTGTTTGCTTATGTCTGCCTGTTCATTTGATGGTGTGATCTGATTCTTGATTATTTTTCTCTTTTTAGAGGCAGGCAGGAAGCCTTGCCCCCCACCATCAAGTAAATAAAGACTTGGCTGTCCCATAAGGAACCCCCAAATTGGAGCCAAATTCTGCCTCAACCCAGCAGAACCAAGACAGGTGTCTGCTGAAGTGGTGCAGGTTCCTGTCATCTGGAGAACACCTGGGAGGGGGCCTTTGGGGCACTTCCAGTATGGATGGGTGGGTCCCCGAGGCTGAGTGGAAGGAGAAGGAGAAGGAGAAGGAGAAGGAGGAGAAAATATGGACAGCTCAGCTGGGAAGACCAGGGTGAAGGTGGGGTCTGGAAACAGCAGCAGAAGGCTGATTCAGAAGTTGTTGTGACTCAACTCCCACCTTCTCTCAGCTGAAACTGGAACCAAAACCTTTCTTTAAATGAGGGAGGTCCCCACTGGGCTAACATAAAATGGGAGGTTTTGCCCACACAGTGATGCAATCTGGCTGGGGTACCTTCCTTTCTGAGTCAAGCCTTTGATCAGGAGGAGATTGATTCACTTCCTTCCCTCTGCAGGTGTGTCATTCAGGTGCCCTCTGCCAACAGCAGGACTTACTCCCCTGCCTTTAGCCATTTCCCTCCCAAGCTGGCTCATTCCCTTCCTGAAATGCCTCAGGATCCAAATTCTTGAACACAGGAAAAGGTTCTTTTGCAGACCATCCAAATGATCCTCACAAGAGCAGAATCCAAAATTTGCACCAGCAAAGAAACACAACCATTGAAATAAGCACATTTTCCTGCCTCAAAATAGCAGGAACCCTTGCCTGCTATGGTTGATAGTCATCTGATAGGGCTCCAGGCCCACAAAATAGAGCTCTGGGCTCTTGCAAGACTTGGGGGGCTGCAGGTTGCCCATCACGGTTTAGAGGGAGGCCTGGACGGTCTTCTCACTACTGTATGTCCCTTACGAGACCTAGCAGATGTGGCCTTTTGAACAGCCATGGCCAGAATGGGATCCGTACAGCTTGCCAACTCTGTTATCACTCCATTTTACTGTCATGCATGTTCATACCTGTCTGTCTGTCTATCTATCTATCAAATTTATATGGCCGCCCATCTCACAAGGAGTGACTCTGGGCAGCATACACAAAGCTATAAAACAATAAACATGTCAAAAAACAGTCAATATTAAAAAGTTTAAAAAAGCGTAAGACGCACAAGAAATGAGATTAGCAAGGGAGGTCCCTCAAGATCTCATATCTCAATTACGTATATCATTTCTAGTGTGAACTAATCATCATAAATGCTTTACGATGGAAGTTGGTCAGTGTGTTATTAGCAGCGCACTGACGCAGAGATACGATATGGATCGTTCACGAAATGTGCCTGCCGGTGGAAGGTGTGACGTGCTTGTTCCCCTTGAGATGGGGCTGTGCTCCATCCACGCCCGTGACCGGAGGTTGGGGATTCGCTTCCGTGCGCGATGGATGCCATACACACCTGTGAATAAGCCCAAAACGCACCCCAAAAACCGGGTTTAGCTTATCCGCAGGTGGGCTTATCCATGCGTATATGTGGCAATACTTTCCTAAAGTAGTTGTGTGTCCCATATATGTTCGCATGAAAGCCCATCCGCAGATGGGCTGACCCTCGACTTTTTAGCCAGAACACCGTGAAAAACGGCAAAGCCCTTCGTTCCGCTGCATGCAGCTGACTCTGGAAAGGCAGCCGCTGCTCGCTGGGGCGAAGCTCCTCGGGCTGCGCCAGCCTTGCAAGGTAGTCCGGGCAGGGAGCACGGCCAGACGGGCTAATTGCCCTCACTGGCTGCACAGCTGCGGCAGCGGCCACCTTTCTTCTCTCTCTCACACACACACACACACACACACACCGGGGCAATCCCAGTGGGCAGAACAGACGGAGACCCCGGAGCGAGCTAAGAGGCGCCGTCGCGGAGCAGGTCTTCTGTGCGGCTGGTGCTAACCAGCATGGCTCGCCCAGACGGGGCGGGCTCCCACAGACTCCTCTTCACGTCCTCACAGTTCGTGGGAACGATGGGGAAGCGGCGTGTCACTGTCTTTCCGCGGGATGCTGTTAATCTCCCAGCTCGGCATTTCCTTGTGGTCTCCCATCCGAAGGCTCCCGCTCCCCAGACGAGCTAAGCGTACTTCCGTCGTCCACAGCGAAAAAGGAGCTGAACGGGTCGAGGGGCTCTCCGGGCGCCCGCTGAACGCGGAGGGCGGGGCGGGGCGGGGCGGGGC